TCGGCCGGCCTGTTACTTCGCCGGCTGCGGCCACCCTTCCGCCGTGGCGGGAGGTTGAGTCTCGCCACGTCGATAATTATACGCCCGGTATCGGCACTATTCTGCCGTCGGAATGTATGAATTTGTCGACTCAGATGAGAGTTCCAGTAGTTTTTTATCTCGTTGTCTGTTCTGCCTGGCAGGTGACTTGCAATCAAAGACCACCTAGAATTTAAATTCAACCCCAGAAGAGAAAAAAAAAAGTGTTACTTAAAAAAGAACATATATATTCATCTATCCCATTCACGTTTTCTTAATAAATTCTTGATTTTTTAAAGTTGTACCGCTATAAATTATTTCTAATATGGATTTAATCTTTAAATTTTATTTTTAATATATTCCTAAAAGTAACACGTTAATCATGTGGTGTGTTGGTCATTTCATATAGGATCAAATGTTTGATATGACATAAGACTTACACAATCTATGACATATAGTTAGAATATTAAAAGTTTGTAAATTTTGTAAAATAGATATATATAAGTTAAAATACTATTTTGATCCATGTATTCTTAAAGTTGTATTTTGAAAATATTTATTTTAATCTTTATACTTAATTGATTATTTTTGTCATTTTCTGTAAAATTACGGAAATTTTTTTAGTATAAAGTAGTATTTATCTTTTAAGAAATATATTGTATATTGATTTTAGAATCGTGTTTAAATTAAATTGGGACAGAAAAAATGAAATTAAAAATATATAAAATTAAGAGATCAAAATAATAACTTTTTAAAAATATAAGAAATATTATTTGAAAATACAGAAACTAAAATAAATAAAAATTGAAAATACATCGACCAAAATAAATATTTTAAAAATATAGAGAGATCAAAATGAACCAAAATAAAAAAATAGACGAAACTAATATTTTAATAACCTAAGTTGAACTACAAATTTGATTTCTTTCGATTTTGAGACAAATGATGAACCTCTTCTGGTATTTAAGACATTAGAAATTTCAGAAATTAAGTACAATTTAAAAAATGAAGCTCTAGAACTTTTAAAGGTGATCTGGTACGTAATGGTACAGTAGAATCTATGTATTGTCCAAAATCTAATACACATATACGAAACGTGTTAGAGTAATGTGTGGGCAAATTACCCGACGGTGACATTAAATTTGCCATTATACACATACTCATTCAACGTGGTCTTTTTAGCTGTCCCTTTCATGCTCCACTGTGGACCAGAAAAAAGTAAAAAAAAAAAAAAAAAAAGTTATTACTCCCCCTTTTCTGTTTGTCTTTTATTTAATTACTTAAACTTCGTTTAATTTTTACTGAATAATAATGCTGCATTATGGGAAAAATACATTTACTACAGTCTACCTACTGTTATTTAATTACTACGCAAAAACAGAACTTTTACAAACGTATGAAACATTTTCACTACCAATAAAAAAAAGTAAAAAAAAAATTGTGATAATGGTGCTCATTAATTTGACGATTACCCAAATAATTTCTTCATCCCAAGTTTCTGGACAACGGAAAAAAAAGACCAAAGGGTAACTTTTGGGGGTGCTGCAAAAGAAATTACCATCCACGTTGTTTCGAGAAATTGGTAATTTTTTAAAGTTACCTGTTTCCTATGGAAGAGTGTAACTTGATGATGGTATCTTCTTCTTCAGTTGTGATGTTCCCTCGCTTCAAATCTGATCTCAGATAGTTGATCCACCGGAGCCGACAGCTCTTTCCACACCGGAGAAGTCCTGTCAGAATGATTTTTTGAGATGAGAATTAAGTCGAACTAATGTGACTAACTGTATTGAAATTAGAGTGACAGTTACATTGAATAATTTTTTTTAATTTTTTTATTTCGAACCTGCATTCTTGGGTAGAGATCTCCAGGAACCTTCGCCGTTGGCGAGAATGTAGGTTTTCAGCCGGGCGTCTTCCTCCTCCGTCCACCGCCCCTTTCTCAGGCCAACTTTCTCGCAGCAAGGCCGGCGCCCCATCGGACTAAAACGACATCGTTTCACGTGGTGTGCAGTAAGTTCTAAAGTCCGACGAGATTCACGACCCGTCTCTCTCTCTCTCTGGAAATTACGGGTTGGGGAAAAAATCGTCGGATTGGTGGATATTTATATAGAGAGGAGAGAGAAAGGGTGACGTGGCAGAAAATGTTGAGATTAAATTGGGAAAAAGGATGAGTGGAGGAAGATGTGGCCACGACAGCTGGAGGGGAAAGACCGTACTCGTGGCGTTTCCACTGTCGTGAGATCGGTGAAGGGGCGTTGCTTTTTCCACGTTGGCACCGCCTATTTCTTTTTTCTTCTTATTATTTTTTTTCTTTCTTCTTCATACGTAGTTCGTTTAGCCATCGTTCATGTCCATTTGTTGGCCTTTATTTCCTTCAGCTAACTTTGAGTCCCACGCTTTTAATACGTTACATTGCACCGCTTTATTTATCCGTTAAATTATAAGTTTGGTCCTTACATTTTAATTTTACGTCTAGAGTGGTGATCTATTCATCTCAATGTGGAAATATTCACTCTCCTGCATAGAAGAGATTCGAACTCACAATCTTTTAATTTGAGATATATGTCAATTACTGAGCTATACTTGCTTTGGAATATTTTTTTTGTTTCTTTTGATTTAGTGTTTAATAGGATTCTAAAGTTTAAATAGAGTCGAATTAGTTAATAAAGGCACAAAATTAAAAGTGAAAAGAAATTATTAGACAGAAAATTAAAAGTTTCAGCTAGTCAATAATTTAGGCACAAAATTAAAAATTTAAAAATCTATTAGATAGAGAATTAAAAGTTCAACGACTTAAAACCTTGAAAATTATTTTAATTGATATTTTTAAAATTTAGGGACCCATATTAAACATACTTAAAATTCATTGACAAAATTTATAATTTAATAAAAAAAAATTTGAAGAGGGGTATGGATTAAGTAAATTAAGAGAAAGCAAACAAACATTTTGACTTGCATAAATTTTCAAACTGGTTTATGCATGATTTGGATTCAGACACCAAGATCCACGAACACCTACACATAGAATAGTCTACACACTAGTATACGGTGTTAAGTAAGTCAGTAATGAGTTCAATTGAAAATAGTAAGAATTATGATGGCAATACTTATATTGAGATATTTTGGCTAATTATTAAATGTCACGTCACAAAATTAAAATTACATTTAGAACCAATGATAAAATTACACGTGTCCTAAATTAATTTTAAAATCTACAAATCAAATTATACCACGTGTCGTCGTCCCGATGAAATCAACTAATTGGATCAAACCCAGAAGAGACTAGGTCCAAGCCCATGATTCATACAAGACCCATCAAAACTCTATAAATAGAGGGAGTCACCTCTCATTTGAGTGATTCAGAGAGATCGAAAAGAATTGAGCCATCAGAGCATTCAGAGTTGCCTAAGCATCCAAAGCCAACAAGACTCGAAGAACTGAAAACTTGAAGACTACGAGACTTCAAGAATTCTGAATCTTCTCTTCGCCAAGCAACAAGATTGAAGTCGAGACTCTATCAAGTTGCAAATTCTTCATCAAGCTTCAAAGTCGAAGAACTTTACAAGCTGCAAAGCCGAAGAACATCAACAAGCTGCAAATCGAAGAACTTCAACAAGCTGCAAAGCCGAAAAACTTCAACAAGCTACAAAGCCGAAAAACTTCATAAACTGTAAAGCCGAAGAACTTCACAAGCTACAAGCCGAAGGACTTCACAAGCACAAAGCCGAAGACTTCAACGATTCTCTAATAAACTCAAAGTCGAAGACTTTACAATGTCTTCATCAAAATACGAGCCAAAGAACTTCATCAATAAGTCGAAACCTTCAATAAGCTCAAAGCTGAAGACTTCAAAAATCTTTCGATAAGCAAAAAGCTGAAGACATCAACCATTGATTCAAGAACAAGCTCACAGGTTCTTGAATTAAAGTTTACATATGAGAGAATTAATCAGAGGATTATTCATTAGAGATTGTACACTACCTACATAAATACAAATACAAGTTCATTAATTCAAGTTTTCCCTTATTGAATTTCTCATCGAACTGTAGCTTCTGCCTCAGACCTCTACCCTTATTTATAGAGAGAATCTCCTTCGGTAGATTGGTTCAACAGAGTCCATTCGGGTCGAGTCGAAGAAAGGACGACTTGATCCAAACGGTTCTGACTTATATCGCTTTCTTAACCTCACTCCACGTCATCATCATAGATATTTTGGTAAGAGAATATTACCCCTAACAAAACTCATGCTTCTCCCCTCCTTAACCCCAACAAGCAATTCTCAAAGAAATTTTGAAAGTATTGGTCATCAAACTAGTTTTTGATTAGCAAACAATTAACTTTTTTTTTTTTTTACAATAATTAGCTTTTGAAATATTTGATAATTTTATAAGGAAAGAGAATCCTACACATTTGAAACACCACACGGGAAGAAAAATTTTGAGAATTTAGATGGAAAATGCTTTATGTCGAATATTTAATTGTGAGGAGTGGGAGGAGTCTTAAGTATTTTTTAATTTAGATGATCAATGTCTGTATCCTCACTATTAGAATTTTGTTTTTTTCTTGACGTTTACTTATCATAAATACTTGGTTTAAAAAGTTTCAATTCAATCCCTCGTCAGCTCACGTTTTAACAATTTTCAATCATACAATTTTTATTGGTGAATGTTGAAATTAATTGATGGTAAATTTACATGGTGCACTATTTAATTAGTAAGATGTTAATTGGTACAAATTTGAGAGGAACTAGGCAACTTAAGAGAATTTTTTGAAACTTTACGTCAATTTCTTAAAAATTTGGAAGAAGAATTATTTTATTATTTTTTATAATGAGTTCAACAATGTGGAATATGGAATGAAACCTTTGTTTAAGAGGATAATAAATGTCTTTTTCACTCAATTTGCTCGTGGCCAAAATTTCTCCCCTTAATTTTTGCAAACTCACTAATAATTCATATATGTCATGTAAGTTTAATTTTAACATTAAGCAACAAGAAAAAAAAAAGTATAATGGAAAATGAACCTCTCCATATATTTACATAATGATTTGATATTATCTACTTTGAATATAGATCCAATAATGGGTTGAACGTTATTTTTTTTAAGTACAACAAAATATAAGAGTGTAAGGATCATTTGAATCTCCGACCTTAAGGAAAGAAGTTATATATATACTTTTAATACTAAATTATGTTCATGTTGGCAATAATCGACGTGTATATATGTTATTGATTACACTTCCAGATGAATCTAATATTCAAAAACATGATTCAAATTTATATTTTTCAACCAGCATTGGTTGTCAAACCCCACGTTAATTGGAAATAAAATATCATATTATAGAAATTTGATTATCGCAAATAATTTATCTCGTCAGATTTTTTTTACTCCTCATTAATGATATGATACACAATAAACTTTAATATTATCGGAATACAAAGACAATAACTAAAAGAAGTAATTTAAGTTAGATGACTATTTGCTTTTTAGTTTTCTATTTTTAAAAATTATACTTATTTTGTCCACAATTTTCTTAATATGTTTTAATTCTTAACTATTTTTCCAAAAAAAAAAAATCTTAACTAAATTTCAAAAAACAAAAGTTTGGTTAACTACCGCTTTTAGTTTTCAAAATTCAATTTAGACTTTGAAAACAATTTCTAAAATGTAGATGGAAAAAGAAAGTAACAAGTGGAATTAGTATTTATAAGCTTAATTTTCAAAAATAAAAAGATATCAAACAGGGCGTTTGAATTTTTATTTTCCCTATTCTCTCCCTCTTCTTTCACTTCCACCCAGTCTCAGTTCTTCACTCTCCAATCAACCACCGCCCCGAGCAGTGGTGGATCCAAAAACTTATGTCAAGGGGCGCATAAATACATTTAACTAAAATGGAAATCGATCAAACTTAACCTCTAATTTGTCAAGTGTATCAATTTTTACCATAAACTTTTGATTTTATTGAATAATTACACCATAAACTGAGATAAACGTTGCAATCTTCAAACTTTAATTGTAACACTTTTTACCCTATAGTGATTTTCTTTTGAAATTTTGTTAAAAAATTATTGTAATATGTGTTAAATGAATTATAAAACATACCTTCGATACGAAATTAATAGGACTCAAAAAAACGACACTAGTTTTTCTTTTTTTAATTGTAAGTTTTGGTAGAGTTTAAGAGTGAAAAACGATTTTTTTAATATATAATTTTAGATACATTTATTATAAAATGCAGATTAAGTAATATTGGAAACTAAATTATAATTTAGTTTGTTGAGTACAAATGGTAAAATTTCCTTGAAAAACAAATAAAAGATTATGACCTTATATATATATAAAATTTGATATTAATTTATTTAAAATAAAATGTAACTGAACTAGAATGATAATAGGTAAAAATTAAGAAGAAGAAAGATAGTGGTAAAGGTTTTTTTTAATAAAATAAAATAAATTAATTTAATTAAAAAAAGTGATTTCTTTTGGAAAAATATATTTGTGCCGAGTTTCAAACTCGAGACAAAGAGGGGCACAAATGCATAAAGTGAGGGGAAAACCAGTGGGGATATACACTTTACTGATACATCGTATACAATGC